CACAAACATCATTTCACATATTTGAACGTTTAAAACCACAAATAGACTGGAAACCGCGGATAATGTGAGCTGGCATACGTCGAATCGCGATTCCGGCCAAACATGGTCACGAGAAATATGCCACAGGTCAAAGGTCAGTTGGGTCAGAGTCATAGAATTTTAAGGTTAGATGTAAAATTGATGATCTCGAGGGCACCGAAATTTTCGTCGCGATCGGCCGCTTTTTGCGCGAGTAATTTGCGGAAAACCATGGGGTTTTATCCGACCCCTTCCCCCTCCCCTCCCCACAAGTGCGATGGTTAACAAGGTTACGGTATGTATAATTTGCGCTTGTCATCCTATTCCTAATGAATGTGTCTCCAGAAAATATGCATCATATACACCAGTAAAACGCCTTTTGGGCGAAGAACGAGCGAGCGAGATAGTGAGCCCTGCACGTGCGGGAGGGCGAGAGGGTACTTCCAACGGACTTGCGCAAAGCACCCTTCTAACCGGTCGATAGCCGTGTGCCAAATTTGAACGCAATCGGCCCAGCCGTTCCTGAGATCTGGAAGCGGCATTCTGCACGTGCGCACGTGCAAACGGGGTCAAAACTGACTTTTGCACGGCACTCTACTAACTGGTCCCCAACCGTGTACCAAATTTGAGCGCAATCGGCCCAGCCGTTCTCGAGATCTGGAAGCGCCCCCTGCACGTGCGCACGTGCAGTAGCACCTTAACCGCAACACATGGGAATGCATTGCCTGGTGGGTGCCTACCTGTATGCCAAGTTTCAGCGAAATCGCCCCAGTAATTACCGAGTTATTAAAATGGGAACAAATTTGACACCTCTTATTGTTGTATTTTGCACGTGCACTGGGGGTGACCCACATGCATCGAGAGTATCCTATTTTTGGTAGAAGGGATGGCGCTACCCTACAAAAATTACAGCAAGTCAATCGCCCAAGCGGATGCTGAAATATGAGCCTCTCAAAATCACTACTTTTGCAAAACAGCTTGAACACCCTTGACTTTTCACGTGGCACGTGCCACGACGGTCACTGAGGTGTATCAAAAGTAGTCAATTACGGGGTAGAAGGGATGGGGCTACCCAGCAAAAAAGACCGCAGGCCAATCGGTCCAGCGGTTGCTGAGATATAAGCCTCTCAAAAGCGTTACAGGCCGGGCCGGGCCGGGCCGCTCATACTGAGATTTTTCCGTTATATTGAAAAGACTTCGCTTCGCTCGCTGCGCTCGCTCGCTCGTAATCACGAAGTAAAATTATTCGCCTATGTCCGGAACATACCTATATCGTGCTGTTTGCCCTAGCGCTCCTCGAGTGGGGTGTTAACTGTTAAGATACTCTAATGTGAATATTCCGTGCTCAGGCAAGTTTCGGCAGCCAAACTAGGCGTTGTCTTGTGCAGGAGAAAGTGGCGAATTCGATAGGATATATTTCGGAGTGGATAAGTGTGGAGAACATTGTTGATTTCCTAGATTTATTTAGAATATCATTCCTTCAATATGGTGTCTGTAGGTTTTTTTTTGTAAATGGCATTTTTGTGACCTTAGTAAGGTTGTGGCAACTGGCATACTTTCTGTCTGTCATTCCATTCCTAATGAAGGTGCCTTTTAGAAAATATGCTTTAACTGTAAGACCTCGCAAGATTAAAACCAACAGGACAGGACGATGAAATTGAGCTATACTTTCGGGCCTTGCTGAGGCAATTGAGTAATCACGCATGAGTGTGAACTTTGGGCGCATTTTTCCTAGTTTTGCTGTGGACATACAGATAAAACAATGCCATATATGAAAAATTCAGACATTTCTTAGCCCCACTGACACAAAAAAAAATAAACAAAAATCCAAAAAAGATTTTTGGAATTAAGAAGCGCTAGATCGGAAAAATCCCCACTGTGCAGTGGGGCGCGGGTTCACCCGCGCGGGGCTGGGGGGGGGTAAATTTTACCCCCCCTCGCGAATTTTTGCGATATCTCAAAAACGGCGGCGCGCAGCGCCGCCAAACTTTCAGTACCTTTTCGTACATTAATTTGACACGTTCCCTGAAAATTTGAGCGAAATCCGTCGGAAAATTTTTGAGAAATTGACGTTTTAGTGACGTCATGTTCGCCATTTTCGCCTCAAAAACGGCAAAAGTTCAAACACCGCTAACATCTTCATTTTTAAAGGAATCAAGACGTAACAAAAAAGGTTATACGTAATTTTACTTTGTCTATCAAATGGCTATCTCGGTGTTTTGAAAATTTTGGATTTTGGCCTAAAGTTTTTCAAAAAACTGACTTTTTTGGGAAAATCATTATAAAATCCAAAATTTTGAGTCTATCGAAAAAACCGGAATACATGTCAGAGAAGTGGTCTATGTGCATCTACATACCAAATTTTAGAAGAATCAGTTCAAAAATGTGGGAGTTATTCAAAAATTTATGACGTCACGACACACACAATTTTTGAAAAATGACTTTTTTGGAAGTTCTAGACCTCGTACGGAAACAAAAATAGCACCATTCGATTCGCCGTGAAAAACTGCATCAGAAAGACACCTTTTTAGGCCTTAACAACCAACTTCATAATTTGACCTTACTTGACCTGACCTTGACCTGACCTCGACCTGAAATTCATCCAGAGGTGGTCCATATCACTTATTGAGTGTGCCTATTGAATTCTATGAGTAAAATGACCCATAAAACATGTGTCGCACATGCCCTTTTCTATATTTTGTTTTTTGGTGACCTGACCTGACCTGACCTGACCTTGACCTTGACCTCTGAATGATATTGTATGCAACGAATATTGTCTTGGTAGCCTAAGGACACGTTTTGGGCGATCAGTCTCAGTCCATGACTCCATTCTTCGGCAACTACGGTGCAAGGCCGATACTGTAGAAACTTGCAATTTGTACCCTTGACCTGACCTTGACCTTGACCTCAAACATTAAATTAAGTACATGTTTTTAGTAGTTCGTGATGAGAGCTTTCGATTGGCGTTTGAATTTTCCAAATCGGACCATTAGTTCGGGAGATAACAGGGGGGGTAAAATTTACCCCCCCCAGCCCCGCGCGTTCGGCTGGAGACCCCAGCCCCGCGCGGGTTAAGGTTAGGTCACCAGATCAGGTCAAGTGACATCACTACATAAAAAGTTTCTATGTCTGCCAAAGCTACACCGAGTGACCGATCGCTTTGAAACTTTCAGAGGTTGATAAGAGCAACATTATGTACAAAATGTATATCTTGGCATTTTGATATCGATGACCTAAGGTCAGATCAATTTTGCGACCTCCCCATTATAAGTCAATGGGAGAAAATTTAAAGTCGCCTTTTTTAGACGGAGGTCATTACTCTAAAACAAGTCAAAACTCTACAACACTAAATTAGGTACTAGTATCTTTGACACACCGAACATGAAAATGGCACCCATGACCCCCTGTTATGCCCCTGAGGTCATCTCAGGTCACCAATGGCATCTGACTGTTTTTCACGAATAACTTTTGATAGAAGCATGCTAGAGCGATGAAAACACCTTTGTTGTGTTTGCCTCGACGATACAAATCGACTGATATGCTACTTGATCCTTACCGGTCAGGTCATGACCTTGATCTGAGGTCAAACTTTCAAGTTGGCTTTTCAAGGTCAAGTGATAATTGGACCTGACCAAAAAAGTGACCGAAGTGATTTCTTCCTGATTTTTGACGCTCTTTCGAACGCCGCCTTCCGCGTATCACTACGTGACCCAGGAGCCGAGTTAGAAGGGGGTGTTCAAACACCCCCCCCCCCCCCAGTAGGGCGTGGAAATCCAGGACCCCCAGCCGGCCGCGGGTTAAAAGAAAAAGTTTAGCGGGTAAAAAATATGGTGTTTCTCTCTGCATTGAATGCCATTCATAGGCCGATCAGCCAGCACGTCATTAACTTGCATTTTATAACTTTTTGTATTTGCGGGATTCAGCCCAGTGCGGTTGTGAAATCTTTTTAGTTAGACGAGATCTTGCCATTCAATCAAACGCTCAACACGGAGAAGTATAATTATTTCTGTCCGTTGGGGCGATGTGAGGGTGTGACAAACTAATGTAAAAGCATGGCTCGGATGTCTTAGGGAGTTTTTTTTCTGTTTTCGTACCTAACCTAACCTAACCTAACGCAATCTGTGTCCCTGTGCCACTGAGTGCAGCACTCTGTGTCCCTGTACTACTGAAAGCAGCAGTGTGTATCCCTGTACTACTGAAAGCAGCAGTGTGTATCCCTGTACTACTGAAAGCAGCAGTGTGTATTCCTGTGCCACTGAGTGCAGCACTCTGTGTCCCTGTGCCACTGAGTGCAGCAGTGTGTGTACTGTGTCCCTCTGTATTTGTACTACTGAGTGCAGCACTCTGTGTCCCTGTGCCACTGAGTGCAGCAGTGTGTGTACTGTGTCCCTCTGTGTTTGTGCCACTGAGTGCAGCACTCTGTGTCCCTGTACTACTGAAAGCAGCAGTGTGTATTCCTGTACCACTGAGTGCAGCAGTGTGTATTCCTGTACCACTGAGTGCAGCAGTGTGTGTACTGTGTCCCTCTGTATTTGTACCACTGAGTGCAGCAGTGTGTATTCCTGTACCACTGAGTGCAGCAGTGTGTGTACTGTGTCCCTCTGTATTTGTACTACTGAGTGCAGCACTCTGTGTCCCTGTGCCACTGAGTGCAGCAGTGTGTGTACTGTGTCCCTCTGTGTTTGTGCCACTGAGTGCAGCACTCTGTGTCCCTGTACTACTGAAAGCAGCAGTGTGTATTCCTGTACCACTGAAAGCAGCCATAGGCGGCGGAACGGGGAGGGCACCGGGGCACAGTGCCCCCTTCGATTTTGACATTTTAACATTAGCCCTATGGGCGTTGTGTGGAAAGAATGGGACCAAAAGTCGGCAGTGCCCCCCCCCCCCTTAACTGATGGTGTTCTGCCGCTACTGAGTGCAGCAGTGTGTACTGTGTCCTGTGTTTGTGTCGCTGAGTGCAACAGTGTGTCCCCGTGTTGCAGCCCAGTTTACGTGCCGGACGCTGCTGCTCTGCCTCCTCTGGGTAGCCACCAACTACCTGCTGATCCGGTCACTGCGTGCGCTGGCCTGCACGGACGTGGTCGCGCTCTACTCTACCCACGCGGCGTTCGTCTACCTGCTCTCGTGGGTGGTGCTGCACGAGCAGTTCGTCGGCGTCCGGGTATGTGGCTGACGCTACCTGCACTGTCACCCGTCCGTCCTTCCGTCCGGCTGACGTCACCCACTGTCAGTCGTCCGTCCTTCCGTCCGGGTGACGTCACCCACTGTCACCCGTCCGTCCTTCCGTCCGGGTGACGTCAACCACTGTCACCCGTCCGTCCTTCCGTCCGGCTGACGTCACCCACTGTCACCCGTCCGTCCTTCCGTCCGGGTGACGTCACCCACTGTCAGTCGTCCGTCCTTCCGTCCGGCTGACGTCACCCACTGTCACCCGTCCGTCCTTCCGTCCGGCTGACGTCACGCACTGTCAGTCGTCCGTCCTTCCGTCCGGGTGACGTCACCCACTGTCACCCGTCCGTCCTTCCGTCCGGCTGACGTCACCCACTGTCACCCGTCCGTCCTTCCGTCCGGGTGACGTCACCCACTGTCACCCGTCCGTCCTTCCGTCCGGGTGACGTCAACCACTGTCACCCGTCCGTCCTTCCGTCCGGCTGACGTCACCCACTGTCACCCGTCCGTCCTTCCGTCCGGGTGACGTCACCCACTGTCACCCGTCCGTCCTTCCGTCCGGGTGACGTCACCCACTGTCACCCGTCCGTCCTTCCGTCCGGGTGACGCCATCCACTGTCACCCGTCCGTCCTTCCGTCCGGGTGACGTCACCCACTGTCACCCGTCCGTCCTTCCGTCCGGCTGACGTCACCCACTGTCACCCGTCCGTCCTTCCGTCCGGCTGACGTCACCCACTGTCACCCGTCCGTCCTTCCGTCCGGGTGACGTCACCCACTGTCAGTCGTCTGTCCGGGGCGTATTTACAAATTGCAACCGAGCTCCGCCGTGGGGTAAGGTGGGCAGGGGTTTTCGCACTACGGCTGCGGTTGAACTACCGTCTGTGGTAGAAACTTCAGGATGATGGCGCGTTTCATACGAAATCTGGCGCAATGTTTATTTGCTTCTGAACTTGTATTGTTATTGCTGTGAACTCTTGAAGTGGGAGTGTTTCAATAACAATTTGTGGATTATTTGGGCTTCTTGATATAAAAATCGAATAATATTATGAAACATTGTGTGGAAACTGCAAATACTGATATAATCAATTGCTTAGTTTGGGAATTGATACACATTTTGTAGAGCTTTGTCTGGCAAATGGTGTAACAAACTTCAATCCTATCATGATCTGAAGCTGTTGTAACAAATCCAAATTGCTTTGATATTCCATAGTACCTTGTTGGAAAGACTGGAGCATAGTTCAAGATGATGTGTAAAAATTCAAGATTTGTGCAAAAGCTTATGACTGAAGAGCGAAAACAGTTCTATATGATGGCTCAATCAAACGTGGAAATGGACGACAAAAGCAGCTGCCGGACATTGGTCACGTGACCACATTTTCCGTTTCACCTTGAGTTGGCACCAGATTCTGTCGACAGATGTGGCGCAGCTTATTTTACTGCATTATTTTAGATACTAAATATTTAGACGCGTGGTAGCAAATGATAACGCGCAAATAATATTGAATCATCGGTGACAGAGTTAACATTGAAACTCGAATAGCATCAATAAAATATAATTCAACTATTATTACTCTTCCATTGACTTTATTGTGTTTGCAGGTATAGGTAGAAACTGAAGAGCTAAGCCTGCAGCTTACAGTTGTTCTAATTTCTATAACTCTTAATGCATAAATCAAGGCTACTGAGGGCTGCAAATTTGTTTCACTTATCTCTAATAACTTATACCCTACTTTCATCAACCATTATCTGTAAGAATCTTGCATCAATCATCCCCAGACTTATTACGGAGCGAGCGAAGCGAGCGTAGTCTTTCCTTAGATTAACGGAAATTTCTGAGTATGGACGGCCTGCCGGCCGGCCGTGGTCACGCTTTTGCGAGGCTTATATCTCAGCAACCACTTGACCGATTTACATGCGGTAATTTTTGTAGGGTAGCTTCATTCTTTCTACCAAGTATTGGACTATTCCTGATGCATGTGGGTGACCCCTTATGCACGTGCCACGTGCAAAACGAAGATGTGTCCGTTTTGTAATTGTTGCAATATCTCGGTAACTACTTGGCCGATTGCGCTGAAAGTTGGCATGTAGGTAGGCAAAGGCACCCATTAGGCACTGCATATCCATGTGCCAGAGTTGGGGCGCTGCTGCACGTGCGCACGTGCAGGGGTCGTTTCCAGATCTCGAGAACGGCTCGACCAATTACCCTCAAATTTGGTACACAGTTAGGAACCGGTTAGTAGGGTGCCGTGCACAAGTCAGTTGGGACCTATTTTGCACGTGCGCACGTGCAGGGTGTCGCTTCCAGATCTCGAGAACGGCTGGGCCGATTGTGCCCAAATTTGGCACATCGCTAGAGACCGGTTAGTAGGGTGCCATGCACAAGTCAGTTGGAGGTACCCCCTCGCAATTTCGCACGTGCAAGGCCCACCCTCTCGCTCGCTCCGTTAGTCGCCCCAAAAGGCGTTATACGTAGAATAACGGAAATTTCTGAGTATGAGCGGCCGGCCGGCCGTGGTCACGATTCTGCGACGCTTATATCTCAGCAACCACTTGACCGATTTACATGCGGTAATTTTTGTAGGGTAGCTTAATTCCTTCTACCAAGTATTGGACTATTCCCGATGCATGTGGGTGACCCCTTATGCACGTGCCACGTGCAAAACGAAGAGGTGTCACTTTTGTAATTGTTGCAAATTCTCGGTAACTACTTGGCCGATTGCGCTGAAAGTTGGCATGCAGGTAGGCACCCACTAGGCAATGCATATCCATGTGCCGAAGTTGGGGTCACGTGCAGGGGTCGATTCCAGATCTCGAAAACGGCTGGACCGATGGCGCTCAAATTTGGTACATGGCTAGGGACCGGTTAGTAGGGTGCCGTGCAAAAGTCAGTTGGGACCCATTTTGCACGTGCGCACGTGCAGGGTGCCGCTTCCAGATCTCGAGAACGGCTGGGCCGATTGTGCTCAAATTTGGCACATCGCTAGAGACCGGTTAGTAGGGTGCCGTGCACAAGTCAGCTGGAGGTACCCCCTCGAAATTTCGCACGTGCAAGGCTCACCCTCTCGCTCGCTCCGTTAGTCGCCCCAAAAGGCGTTATACTGGTTATTTTTTTTTTTTACATACCTTCGCCCCGAGGCGGCCGCGAGAGTGGGCGGGTACGACTCCCTCGCCCTAATTGGCGAGGGAAAAACAAGCATGTGTGCCGTTACGGGACCGGGGACGCAGCGATTGATGCACGGTTTAAAAGTCTCAGGTCAACTGGTGGCCTCTGAAGGTCAGGTCAAGTGCCCCGAGGGCCAAAATACGATTTCGGGTTTTGAGAAATAACTGCCAAAAAACGGCGCAGAGTCGCGATTTTAGTACCATCATGTTTGTCATGCTCCGGTGCGTCAAATGGTACACTTTTGTTTGGGTGGGGTCAACATAAGGTGTTCACATCGGGTCAAAGTCAGGTCAGAAGCACTCAGGTCACGAAGTTGGTCGGAGGAGATTCTATCGTATATCATTCGATTCGGTACGTCTTCCCGAGTCCAATGGCGACTTTTCCGACTTGCCAATTCAATTTTATCAGGAGTTATTGACGAAAAAACTTGTGACCTATGACGTCACGCTAAGTTAAATATGCAAAAGTAAAGCATTGGGCATTGCAAGAAGTGCATGAAATTGCGATTCCATGTGCTTGAGCTAGGTTTAGATCATTCTCGGCGTCAAAATTATAGTTTCCATATTTTCCCCATTGACTTGTACTGGTGACGTCACGCGATCGGCCTGACCTCATGTGACCTCTAGGAGAAATCCGAGATATACAAGTTTTGAGACTTCTAGAGGATACTAGGTCCTGTAAGCATCATCTCGTTGTGACAGCTCCTCTGACTTTGAGGGCATTGCGAAGTTTCGGTATTTTGGGACTATTGCAGAGGTTCACGTGTGACGTCATAAGTCAGTAATTTGACCTGAGACGGAAATGCAATTGGTTTCCAAAGATGCGTATGGAAGCAAAGATAAGGTGTGCCAAATAGCAGCTCTCTAGCTGTAAGGTGTTTTGAGCTATCGCCAAAAGTCGTAAGTGGAGCGCTACTGACTCCTCCGGTCGGCCGCCGGGGGTTAGGAGGCGTGCAGCGTATCGGAAAACCACCTGGTGCTTAGCGAATTTTGCCGATAAAAATACGTTTCTTATGCCGACTTATAGCCAAAAGACGACTGAATCTCAAACCAGTCGTATCCTTGCACTAAATGGCTTGGTTTAGATACGAAAGGTCTGAAAAGAAAAGGCCCCATGTATTATCTATGGGCGCCGCGAGGCCGTTGGCACCAGAGTTTCGGGAAGTGCCCTCGCCACAACCGCACGTGCAGATTTGGTCACGTGACCAAGCGCATTTGCCGCCATTGTATTTACATGGAGGATCTCTCCTCCATGGTATTTATATACACTGTGGACAAAAGTAGAGTTTCAATATTCCAGCATGTGAGAATAACTTCAGAACTTCATAGTTCGTGTAGCATTGCATTCTTCTTTACGGAGCGAGCGAAGCGAGCGGAGTCTTTACGGAGCGAGCGAAGCGAGCGTAGTCTTTCCTTAGATTAACGGAAATTTCTGAGTATGAGCGGCCGGCCGGCCGGCCGGCCGGCCGTGGTCACGCTTTTGCGAGGCTTATATCTCAGCAACCACTTGACCGATTTACACGCGGTAATTTTTGTAGGGTAGCTTCATTCCTTCTACCAAGTATTGGACTATTCCCGATGCATGTGGGTGACCCCTTATGCACGTGCCACGTGCAAAACGAAGAGGTGTCAGTTTTGTAATTGTTGCAATATCTCGGTAACTACTTGGCCGATTGCGCTGAAAGTTGGCATGTAGGTAGGCACCCACTAGGCACTGCATATACATGTGCCAGAGTTGGGGTGCTGCTGCACGTGCGCACGTGCAGGGGTCGTTTCCAGATCTCGGGAACGGCTGGACCGATTGCGCTCAAATTTGGTACACGGTTAGGG